TTATTTTTTCAATCCATTTAGTTGTTTCAAAATCAATATAGTTTAAATATATGACAGCTTTTCCATCCAACCCGCCCCAGAGCATTAACCCTTGAAATTGCCTGAGTTGAGTGAGTGACTGCGATGGATCTTGACTGCGATGCCCATCTTCTCAGTAAGAATAAGAAAAAATAGGTTTATATAAAAAATTAATCCAAAATGGTATGTAAATATTTTTCTGTAAAAAAATAAAAGAGCAAATGGAAATTAGGCAAACATATGTGTTTGCTAATGACTGCGACTGCATTTTAAACGATTTTTTAAAAAAGATATAAAAATAAAACAAAGGCCAGAACAAAAATTAATGAAAAATATGTAAGCCATTATTTACATACAGTAACGCTAATTTTGTAATGTTTTTTTTTTTAATTGCATTGTGTGTACTTACTATAACTTAGTTAGTAATATAAATCTCTCTCTCAATAATGATTACTTTTGTAAAAAAAAGTAACACTCGTATAAAAAGATATTTCAAAAAAAGTTCGCAAGCAACTTGAAAGAAAATGCAGATCGCTCATTGGTCGCTTAATTGGCCTGGTGTTACTTCGCCTCGTATTTACTCCGCGTAAAAAAAAGTTCTTTAAATGAAAAAAAAAAAAATAGTCACAATTACTAATCAAAATTTAGCCGAAAATTTTCCTCAGGTTTATAAAAAGCGACATTCAAAATTTGGTACCAATTGGTTCAGTAGTTTTTGAGTTTATCGCGAAACAGACAACAGACATTGACTTTTATATATAGGAAGATATAAAAAAAAAACAAAGGCCAGAACAAAAATTAATAAAAATACGAAAGTCATTGTTTACATACAGTAACGCTAATTTTGTAAAGTTTTTTTTTAATTGCATTGTGTGCACTTACCGTAACTTAGTAATATAAATTTCTCTCTCAATACTTTTGTAAAAAAAAAGTGACACTCGTATAAAAAGATATTTAAAAAAAAGTACGCAAGCAACTTGAAAAGAAATGCAGAACGCTCATTGGTCGCTTAATTGGCCTCGTGTTGTTACTTCGCCTCGTATTTACTCCACGTAAAAAAAAGTTCTTCAAATGAAAAAAAGAAATAGCCAAAAATACTAATCAAAATGTAGCCGAAAATTTTCCTCAGGTTTATAAAAAGCGACATGCAAAATTTGGTACCAATTGGTTCAGTAGTTTTTGAGTTTATCGCGAAACAGACAGACATTGACTTTTATATATATAGAGATAATATTATATTATCTATATATATAAAAAAATGAATGTATGTGTGTGTGTCCTTTATGCCTGACCAAACCACTCATTGGAACGCCATGAAACTTTGGGAAGTTATTTAGTATAGTACTGGGAAGGTTTCTGAAAAATAATTTCTTGAATATCTTGAATACCCTTAGAGTTATTTGCAGATTTGTAGATTTAACTCGCAAGCAGAGCCCCCATTGCGACGATGATAACAAGTTTTTTTATCTATAAGATTTATTATCACCAAGTTTATTATCTTAAAGATTATTTATCAAAAGTAAGATTATCTCAGGATGACACGGCAATTTATTTGAGACAAGAATAATGATACAATTCCAAGGAAAAGATACTATTCCTTTAACTTCCAATTACCGAGGGAACCGATTAATATTGATTTTATTCAACTTATCGAGTATTTTTCAAGGGACCGGGAAAAAATGTTCACTAGATAAAACGATGATTTTGTAATGTAGAAAATTAGGAAAGACAAAATTCAGGATGACACGGCACACAGGGACCGGGGAAAAATGTTCACTTTATCGAGAGATTCAAATTTACGAGTTTCAAATTATCAAAATATATCTATTACTTTTTTAAATATGTTTATAGAGAATTGTTTTAACAAATGTTCGTTAGACAAACCTATACTCGGGTAAAACCCAGGCGAAGCCGGGTACGTCCGCTAGTAATATATATATTATTAATTCTCAAAAACATTTAATATTTTCGATTTTATTTGAAACTTTATTATTAACACCTTCCTATTTAATAACTTTTATTTTTATTCTATTCAATTAAACTCTTTTAAGCGTAATATTTTTTATAAGATAATAAATGGTAATCATATGTGGTAAATGTAAAATAGTAACTATAATATATTCAAAATCAATATGAAAAGTAAGTATATAAATTTGAATAAAATTATAAAATGTGGTATTTAACTAAAATTGTAATATATAAATAATAAATGCTATTTTAAAATGCTAAAATATGGGTATTTTACATTTTAAATGTAGTTTAGAAACATTTTAACTTTAGTATAATGCTTTGATATTTCAATGTTGAACTTTGAAAATATGTTTTACAATTTTAAAATATCGCTATAAAACTATAAAATGTTGATATATATAATACTGTTAATGTACATTCGCTGAATACAGTTATTTACAAATGTTCGTTTGTGGCAAGATACTATTCCTTCAAATTCAAATTACCGAGTGGACCAATTAATAATGATTTTATTCAACTTATCGAGTATTTTTTAAGGGACCAGGAAAAAAATTCAAATTATCGAGAGTATAGACAAGTATAGATTCAGTAGGGATTGGATGTTTGCTAGAATTGTTCTAACAAATGGTGGTTAGGCAAAATTTTACTTGGGTAAAAACCGGGCGAAGTCGGGAACACATATATATATGTTTGTAGGCTCTGCACACCCTCAATATGTAACTCGCTGAAATTTGAACAGGACAGAGTTAAATCTGGAAGTTTTTTGTCGCACTTTTAACCAAGAAAAATTATACTTAACCAAGTACTGAGCAACAATATTTTTTTAGTCAGAAATGATGATGACAATATTGCTGTATCATGCTTGATGGACATAAACAAAATTCTTTGCGGGAATATTCACTAAAGCAGACCACGGGCAAAGCCAGATAATAATTTTTAGTAGGATTGAACAAAATTCTACCAGCGAAACATTCACTCGAGCAGAAGACACACGAAGCCAGGTCATCTCTAATATATAAAATATCGTTTCTCAGCCTTTTGACTAAGATCATGCAGACTTCAAAATTTATATATTTTTTACTTAGTTTAAGCATATGGGTTTGTTATATGTATATATAAAAATAAGTAGTTAACATATAATAGTAAAAAGAAAAAAATATATATGTAAACTAGCGGATGTATCCGGCTTCGCCCGGGTTTTACCCTAGTAAAGGTTTATCTAACGAACATTTGTTAAAACAATTCTCTATAAACTTATAAAAAAAAAAAGATATATTTTGATAATTTGAAACTCGTAAATTTGAATCTCTCGATAAAGTGAACATTTTTTCCCGTCCCTGTGTGCCGTGTCATCCTGAATTTTGTCTTTCCTAATTTTCTACATTACAAAATCATCGTTTTATCTAGTGAACATTTTTTCCACGGTCCCTTGAAAAATACTCGATAAGTTGAATAAAATCAATATTAATTGGTTCCCTCGGTAATTGGAAGTTAAAGAAATAGTATCTTGCCTTGGAATTGTATCATTATTCTTGTCTCAAATAAATTGCCGTGTCATCCTGAATTTTGTCTTTCCTAATTTTATACATTACAAAATCATCATTTTATCCAGTGAACATTTTTTCCCGGTCCCTTGAAAAATACTCGATAAGTTGAATAAAATCAATATTAATTGGTTTCCTCGGTATTTGGAAGTTAGAGGAATAATATCTTGCCTTGGAATTGTATCATTATTCCTGTCTCAAATAAATTGCCGTGTCATCCTGAATTTTGTCTTTCCTAATTTTCTACATTACAAAATCATCGTTTTATCTAATGAACATTTTTTCCCGGTCCCTTGAAAAATACTCGATAAGTTGAATAAAATCAATATTAATTAGTTCCCTCGGTAATTGGAAGTTGAAGGAATAGTATCTTTGTCTTGGAATTGTATCATTATTCTTGTCTCAAATAAATTGCCGTGACATCCTGAATTTTGTCTTTCCTAATTTTCTACATTACAAAATCATCATTTTATCTATTCTCCCAATATATATGTTGTAAATAAATGACAAAACCAACTTTGACTTGTGCGCAATTAATAGGTAGAAAATCTTACTTTTGATAAAGAATCACCATCATTTAATTAAATCTACAAATCTGCAAATACTCTAAGGATATTCAAGATATTCAAGAAATTATTTTTCAAAAACCTTCCCGGGGATATACCTAATAATATCCCAAAATTTCAAGGCGATTGGATGTATGGTTTTTGAATCTATAGAGTACAGACAGACAGACATTCAATTTTATATATATACTAGCGGATGTGCCCGGCTTCGCCCGGGTTTTACCCGAGTGAATGTTTGTCTAACGAACATTTGTTAAAACAATCTACTTATATATTTGCCTTATTCTGTCTGTTTGTTTGTCTGAAGCTCACGGATGGGATTTTTCATAACCATCGGTGGTTCAGTGGTAGAATGCTCGCCTACCACGCGGGCGGCCCGGGTTCGATTCCCGGCCGATGCATTTTTTTTTTTTTTTTTTACAATTTTTAAAACTCATTTATATATTATACAAGAATGACATCCACGGCGCCAATTTTATAATTGTAACGAATAGTATTTGAATAAAAGCATTTAATCGGGTAAAACCCGGGCGTTGCCCGGGACATTCGTATCTACTTATATATTTGCCTTATTCTGTCTGTTTGTTTGTCTGAAGCTCACGGATGGGATTTTTCATAACCATCGGTGGTTCAGTGGTAGAATGCTCGCCTACCACGCGGGCGGCCCGGGTTCGATTCCCGGCCGATGCATTTTTTTTTTTTACAATTTTTAAAACTCATTTATATATTATACAAGAATGACATCCACGGCGCCAATTTATAATTGTAACGAATAGTATTTGAATAAAAGCATTTAATCGGGTAAAACCCGGGCGTTGCCCGGGGCATTCGTATCTACTTATATATTTGCCTTATTCTGTCTGTTTGTTTGTCTGAAGCTCACGGATGGGAATTTTCATAACCATCGGTGGTTCAGTGGTAGAATGCTCGCCTGCCACGCGGGCGGCCATGGTTCGATTCCCGGCCGATGCATTTTTTTTTTTTTTACAATTTTTAAAACTCATTTATATATTATACAAGAATGACATCCACGGCGCCAATTTATAATTGTAACGAATAGTATTTGAATAAAAGCATTTAATCGGGTAAAACCCGGGCGTTGCCCGGGTCATTCGTATATAATAATTGTATAAACGAATGCAAGACAAAATCACCGCGAATGTTTCTTTTTTTAAGGCAATTATCGTTATTTATCGTTAATTTTTGTTTCGATTTTATTGAAAAAAAAAACGATATGGTGCCTTTAAAAAATGATCTTTATTATTATGCAGTTTTCTATTTAGTCAATATACCTAAGTTCATGTTGCAAATGTAATTATCTCTATCGATTTAGTAGGTGAAATGCAAAAAAAAAAAATCGAAATGATGAAATCTTTATGAAAATTCACATTTTTATTTTTATATTTTCAAGACACACACAGTTTGGGGCGGGACGTTTCACAAGAGAGACATCCACGGCGCCAATTTATAATTGTAACGAATAGTATTTTAATTAAAAGATTTTAAAAACACACAGTTTGGAACGGGACGTTTCACAAGAGTGACATCCATGGCGCCAATTTATAATTGTAACGAATAGTATTTGAATTAAAAACGTTTTTAAAATATATACGCACTTAGGTAAAACCCGGCGTTGCCCGGGCCATTCCTCTAGTTCTCTATAAACTTATAAAACGTACTCGGCTTCGCCCGGGGTTTTACCCGAGTAAAGGTTTGTCTAGCGAACATTTGTTAAAACAATTCTCTAAAAACTTATTAAAAAAAAAAAAGATATATTTTGATAATTTGAAACTCGTAAATTTGAATCTCTCGATAAAGTGAACATTTTTTCCCGGTCCCTGTGTGCCGTGTTATCCTGAATTTTGTCTTTCCTAATTTTCTACATTAGAAAATCATAGTTTTATCTAGTGAACATTTTTTCCCGTGTCACATTGCCGTGTCATCCTGAGATAATCTTACTTTTGATAAATAATATTTAAGATAACAAACTTAGTGATAAGAAAACTTGTTATCATCGTCCCAATGGGGGCGCTGCTTGCGAGTTAAATCTACAAATCTGCAAATAACTCTAAGGATATTCAAGATATTCATGAAATTATTTTTCAAAAACCTTCCCGGTGATATACCTAATAATATCCCAAAATTTCACGGCGATTGGATGTATGGTTTTTGAATCTATAGAGTACAGACAAACAGACAGACAGACATTGAATTTTATATATATAGACTAGCGAACATTTGTTAAAACAATTCTCTAAAAACTTATTTAAAAAAAAGATATATTTTGATAATTTGAAACTCGTAAATTTGAATCTCTCGATAAAGTGAACATTTTTTCCCGGTCCCTGTGTGCCGTGTCATCCTGAATTTTGTCTTTCCTAATTTTCTACATTAGAAAATCATAGTTTTATCTAGTGAACATTTTTTCCCGGTCCCTTGAAAAATACTCGATAAGTTGAATAAAATCAATATTAATTGGTTCCCTCGGTAATTGGAAGTTAAAGGAATAGTATCTTCGCCTTGGAATTGTATCATTATTCTTGTCTCAAATAATTTGCCGTGTCATCCTAAGATAATCTTACTTTTGATAAATAATATTTAAGATAACAAACTTAGTGATAAGAAAACTTGTTATCATCGTCACAATGGGGGCGCTGCTTGCGAGTTAAATCTACAAATCTGCAAATAACTCTAAGGATATTCAAGATATTCATTAAATTATTTTTCAAAAACCTTCCCGGTGATATACCTAATAATATCCCAAAATTTCACGGCGATTGTATGTATGGTTTTTGAATCTATAGAGTACAGACAGACAGACATTCAATTTTATATATATAGACTAGCGGATGTACCCGGGGTTTTACCCGAGTAAAGGTTTGTCTAACGAACATTTGTTATAAAACAATTCTCTATGAACTTATATAAAAAAAAGATATATTTATTTAATTTGAAACTCCTAAATTTGAATCTCTCGATAAAGTGAACATTTTTTCCCGGTCCCTGTGTGCCGTGTCATCCTGAATTTTGTCTTTCCTAATTTTCTACATTACAAAATCATCGTTTTATCTAGTGAACATTTTTCCCGGTCCCTTGAAAAATACTTGATAAGTTGAATAAAATCAATATTAATTGGTTCCCTCGGTAATTGGAAGTTAAAGGAATAGTATCTTCGGCTTGGAATTGTATCAATATTCTTGTCTCAAATAAATTGCAGTGTCATCCTGAGATATCTTACTTTTGATAAATAATCTTTAAGACAAGCATGTCAAACTCAAATCCTAACACGGGCTAAATAAAAAAGTAATAAGATTATGTGGGCCGCAAAAAAAGAAAACAAGTAATTAAATTTTTATAGTAACATTTATGTAGGTTTATTTTAAAAAATACTAATAAGAAAAAAGAAAGTAAAGTTAATATTTTCTCCTGATATTTGGCATCTCTTTTCTGCTACCATCTTTCCTACTTCGGGGGAAATCTTGTTCGCAGTGATTAATTTTAAAACTGACCCAAGGTCAGTTTAAATTTATAAAAAAATTTTTATTAAAATATATTGTCTGGTGGGCCGCAAATTTATTCGTTGTGGGCCGCATGAGGCCCGCGGGCCGCGAGTTTGACATGCTTGCTTTAAGATAATAAACTTAGTGATAATAAAACTTATAGATAAAAAAACTTATCATCGTCGCAATGGTGGCGCTGCTTGCGAGTTAAATCTACAAATCTGCAAATAACTCTAAGGATATTCAAGATATTCAAGAATTTATTTTTTAAAAACCCTTCCGGGGATATACCTAATTACATCCCAAAATTTCACGGCGATTGGATGTATGGTTTTTGAATCTATAGAGTACAGACAGACATTCAATTTTATATATATACTAGCGGATGTGTACCCGGCTTCGCCCGGGTTTTATCCTAGTGAAAGTTTGCCTAACGAATATTATATATTATGAAGTATAATAAACAATGTTAAAGATTAGTTTTAATTATTAATCAAGATTGTGTGTGAATATGTGAGAAAGATGTAATATCGTTGTTGTTTTCTTGGCCGACTGTTTTACATATGGTGTTATCTTAAAATTGCTTGTTTTGAATATTTTTTTAGATTGAGTTGAATTAATTGATGAATTTTTTTTTTGTATTTATATATAAATAAAATTAACTCTGTTGATTTTTTTGTATTTAATCGATAACAGCGAAGTTACGCATGTTAAAGTTAGGAAAAATATTTTGATGTTAAGCAAAACCTGCTCCATCTCGTTTTACATAAATGTTGAAAATTTGGTCGAAATTGATGCATTGTAACGAAAGTTTTTAGCGAACACCACTTATGAAATTTGCATTTTATTAATATAGATATAATATAAATGAGTTTTATAAAAATTGTTTTAAAAAAATGCATCGGCCGGGAATCGAACCCTTGCCGTCCGCGTGGCAGGCGAGCATTCTACCACTGAACCACCGATGCTCTTTAAAAAAATCAAATTCATTTATCGTCGCGACCAGTGCTGCGCCCTAGCGGTAAAAGACTGGAACTAACGCTTTTTGGTTTTTTATTTTTTAAAAAAAGCACATTAACTTTTTTAGTTTTTTGAATAGCCTATATGTTAAACGAAATCTTCAGCTACCTACATGCGAAATTCCATAATGATTGAGTCAGTAGATTTTGCGTGATGCGATAACAAACATCGATTTCGCATTTCATTTTTATATATATAAATAAGGAAGGATAGACTAGCGGATGTACCCGGCTTCGCCCGGTTTTTACCCGAGTAAAGGTTTGTCTAACGAACATTTGTTAAAACAATTCTCTATAAACTTATAAAAAAAAAGATATATTTTGATAATTTGAAACTCTTAAATTTGAATCTCTCGATAAAGTGAACATTTTTTCCCGGTCCCTTGAAAAATACTTGATAAGTTGAATAAAATCAATATTATTTGGTCCCCTCGGTAATTGGAAGTTAAAGGAATAGTATCCTGCCTTGGAATTGTATCATTATTCTTGTCTCAAATAAATTGCCGTGTCATCCTGAATTTTGTCTTTCCTAATTTTCTACATTACAAAATCATCATTTTATCTATTCTCCCAATATATATATTGTAGATAAATGATAAAACTAACTTTGACTTGTGCGTAATTAATAGGTAGAAAATCTTACTTTTGATAAATAATCTTTAAGATAATAAACTTAGTGATAATAAAACTTATAGATAAAAAAACTTGTTATCCCCCGCTAGGGGGCGCTGCTTGCGAGTTAAATATACAAATCTGCAAATAACTCTAAGGATATTCAAGAAATTATTTTTCGAAAACCTTCCCGGGGATATACCTAATAATATCCCAAAATTTCACGGCGATTGAATGTATGGTTTTTGAATCTATAGAGTACAGACAGACAGACATTCAATTTTATATACAGTAAAACCCCTCTATAGTGAACCAAAAGCTCTGTCCCATTTGGGGACATTTTAGACCGTATAATTAAAAAACAGCCAAACAAAAAGGAAAAGGTAGCCACTCAATAATGGTCACTTTGTTTTAATTCCCTAAATTGACTTATTTCTTTACAGTAATGCTGAATATCAAAAGAAGTCATTTGTTAATAGGTTCTTCTTAACATTAGCATACATGTATGTGGTAATAGATCCTGTCGACTTTCGATATATGTGGTATTATATCCTGTCGACTTTCAATATAGCTGTGATAATATGCTATGCTGGGAAGCCTTACTCTTGGGATTGATGATTGTTGAAGTGGTGACGCAGTCGTGGTGGCTGAGTAAGCAAGGATTACACACAAGGGAAATAAGCCAGAACACTTGATGGGTTGAAATAAAAGGCAACTGGTTTGGAGGAAAGAAAGACTTGAGAAGGCGGAGCGGGTTTTGATTGTTAATTATCTGATCACATGGTGGTGATTGGACTTAGCTATGAGTTGAGCAGAGGGAGAGAGGTCTAGAGCAGATGTC